ATACAGAGGTTTTGTTGGTTGAACGAGGAGACCCGCAGAAAGAAGGTGGGTGGGTCGTCTGGCTCAGCCCTACATACAGAGTCCAGAGCCCATTGTCAAATGTTGCAGTTTCCTTGTTGAGTTTGTTCAAGATTAACTAATTTTTAAAAGACAATTATAAGTTTTAAATGAAACATTGGAGCTATTGAGGCAAATGTGTTCACTATGGAACATTTTATAATTGTAGTTTGAGTGGTTTACGAATATAAAAAAGATAGCTCAAGGAGATTAAAGAAAACGAAACAAAAATTAAAAATGAGACACTTAATAATTATGTTCTCTTTAAGATGGAATTGCCACGTAAAATACCCACGGTTAGCGGCAGACGCTTTCAAGATATGACTTTCCGACTTGTATATAGCGGTACTTCAAATATACAAGACTTCGGCGAACACTACTATTGTTTGGAACTCTTAACACTCAATGAAAAAAAAAAAAATCAAAAAACATAATATGCTAGATGATATTTGAAATTTTATGCAAGAGCTCTCTAATTTTTCCAGTTATAATTTATAAATGGTTACATGTATGTGGGTATCTATAGATGTAGGAAAACACCTCCAAGATGTTTAAGTGCCAAAAGACACCTTTTGGAATGTAACCGAAAGAGAACGGTCGCATCTAAAGGCCAAAAGACACCTTATAGTCACTAAGTATTGCGACCTTTCAGCGTCCGCAGCCAGCTGCGGGCTCGTGCGCCACGAGCTCGTACGAGCTCATACGAACTCGGAATTGAGTTCCGTTTTTTCCTACTCGTTCCCAACGAACTCTTCTAAAGTTATAGCATGCAAGTTGCATGATCAGGTCTCGTTTGGATTATCCTAACATTCGCCAAAGACACAATATTTTACGAATTCAATAATATGAGTTACTTAAACTCATTGTTTCAACCTTATATTTCCTGCATATATAACTTAGAATTAATTTCTCATTCACCTTAAAATGGTTTTGAGAATTTTCTAAGTCTTCCACTTACAAAAAACGGAATCGTAAATCTGTAAAAAAACCAATCTTTCTTACAATAATATGGCCCAAGGAATAGCTCGGTGAACTGTTTGGATCATAGCTCAAACTTATGTGGTATGGATAGTGCGAGTTCGACTCAAGAGGCTATAGGTCGATATACACATCTCGGAGGTCGTATGTGCTATACTGAAGGGAGCAAGCCTCAATGTTGATCTAACTTGAATACTGAGATGATGAGTGTCATCGATCTAACAGGATATTCGTCGAAATATTCTCTTACCATCTTTATCATAATAAATCTTCAGATATAATGAGTCTACTTCTATTTGTAGAAGTACCTGCTAAAAAAGGTAACTTTGGTTGTACTAAAACACTCTTCTAGAGATTCTACTCTAATAACACTTCCCGAGTTTACATGTTAACATCTCTTGATTCCTGGCGTGCTTTGCAGGTTATCAGAAATCAAGTATGTGAGGAGCTGATGTAAAGCACATCATATACAATATTAATTGTGGAATAAAATTGATTATTATCATCATCCAATTTAGGATTAAAAGAATTTAACCTTTCGATTACGAATTCGTATAATAATATGAGTAGTGCTCATAGGGGCTTCAACACCACACGATGTGCCACACCCATGCAAGTGTGTGTAATCATGTAGTGTTGAAGTCCATTAGGAAAATTGAATTGCGGTTTATAGTATCATAATAAAAAGTTCGAAATAAGAGGTAAACGAGTACTCAAACTTCATTCAACACTAATACTTGTTACACACAACTTTAGCAATATATATTATGTTTATTTTTCTTGAAAATACATAAAAAAAAAGGATAAAATTATGGAAATTGAGAAAATCCATTAAGGCTTCATTTCATTCTTGATAGCTTCAACTAAGTGATCATAGGCCACACTCCATGCCCCCTTCATCTCTTCTGACCACATTTCTCCACTTGCTTCCTTTATTGTCTCCAATAATGAAAATTTCACAACCTGTAATTAATATTTCCAATGTTTTTACATAAAGAGTTGCTTCTTCATCTTATGATATGTAGTAAAAACATTTTAATGATTGCAGTGCAGTTACCGATATCGTCGAATTAACAAATATATAGTGAATGTAATAGTTGTTATAACTTATATTACCTCAAAGTGTTCATCCACGACAGCCATATTTGACGTGTACGGCACCGAGTTTTTTCAAAGTCGAATCCCTAACTACAACTTTCCCTTCTTTTCGAAGTTGAACCGCGGCTTCACACGTCTGCAAAATTAAATTAATTTAACAGTTTTCAATCTAATATACTAACATATAATTACAAATTTAATATTTTTTTTTTTTTTGCATGAAATTTATAAATGTATATAATGTCACAAAGACTAACCATGACAAGCAGAGTCTTGGCATGTGCCTTAAGCTTAGGATTCTGGGCAAGTGGAACAGTTGAGTCTTTTAAAAACGTGAACAAATTCTGAGCAGATGGTGCTATTTCAAATATCCTAATCCAACAATCACACAATTAATTTCATAAAAATGAGTTATTATAAATTTATAAAAAAAAATAAAAAGGGTTAAAAAACTCGAAACGAAAGATCATATTATTATTATTCGGGTTTCGTACTTGAGAAAAAGCTTGAGCGCCCATTCACCAGAATCCTTCTTCATCAAGTTCCACGATTTTACGACCAACGATTCTTGTTCTTCGGTAAACAAAATCGCGTCTCCATCTAAACAAGCAACAAAATTAATTACACAAATAAATTACATACATTTTCAAAGCAATTTATGAACATAAAAAGAAAAAAAAAAAGCACAAAAAAATTGAAAAAAATTACTAACCAATATTTGTAGTATTGGCCATGGCTTAATGCTTATGAAAAAACTAAGGATATTTTTTAATTTGGTGTGTGTTTGTCACAAGAATTGATGATTGGTGTACAAGTGTTACACAAGAATTGATTGGTGTACAAGTGTTATATATATATAGTGCCATGAGATTGGCCCTTGACAAGAGTGTATAGCCAAAGTGTAATTAAACTTTATTAAAGAAGAAAAATTCAAATTGTGAACATGTGATATATGGATTATAAATTAAAAGATATAAAGTTGAGATATGATTGCAGTGTATGAAAAAATAAAATAAAATCATGCATGATGTAAACAGTAGCCTAGTGCTTAATATTGCACAATATTTGTGAAATATGGCAATAAAAAATATACTAATTTGGTGATTGTTATTGGTAAAATGATATAATGTATAAGATGATAGAATCATATCAAATATATATCAAACATACATTAGCCATTATGTTTATGCACCCCAAAAAAACTTCGCCATACTATTAACTATTAACTAAAACAAATGTTTTAAATATTATACCGGCCCAATAATATTAGATATATCGACCAATTTGATAACCCTTTAAGTTTTTTCAAAACGCTGATTTCATAATAAAAAAATACTAATTTTATAGAAAAATACTAACTCAAAATATTGATTTTTTTTTGGGTATATTGTCAAGTTATTTTATAAGTTGAAAGTCCTGTATTTAATTTTAGTATATTTACATTCTTATCAAAATTTAATCAATTTAAAGTTGGTTTACATATTTTTTATATTGTAATAATTAATTTAATGAATATTAATTAGAACGAATAAAATATGTAGTAAAACCGATTGAACCACGTAACTACGTACTCGCCTATATGATTACCATTTACCGGTAAATTATTTGAAACACCACTAAAACTACTCTGGTCATCACACAACTGCATGTCAAAGGACATTGGAATATACAACAAACAAAAAAATAAAATAAAAATAAAGATAAAAAAGCAAATTAAAAAAAAAAAAAACCTAAAAAAATTCAACTTCTCTCCATTTTTTTTAAGGTAGGGTTCAAGAAAACAAAGATTCAATCTCACCCACACCCATAGCTCACATCAGGCTTACCCACCACCGACACGAACGGTACCTCGACCCTCTCCTTCACGACGCACCTCGTTTCACCATTCTCCGTCACAGCCACCTTCCCGGGCGGACACCTGTCCTCACCCCCACCCCCATTCTCCTCCGACCCGCCCTCAACCCGGAAAAGCTCCACAACCCTATTCAAAACCCCCCCACCATTCTCCCGATTCCTCTCCGACGAACCAGCCAGGCCCATTATAGCCACCACCGCCAAAACAGTCAGGCCTGTTTTAACCGCCAGCCCAACCATTCCCCCAACCCACTTCAGCGGGCCCCGCGACCCCCGACCACTGCCCGACGGGTTTACTGGTACACCACCGTTTTGTAGTGGGAATTTGCGGGCAGCAGCCGAGAGGTGCCCGCCGTTTTCCGGGCGGCTCGGGTAAGGAGGCAGGAGAAGACGCTCGGGATTTTCCTCTGCCAGGCTGGCGAACGAGATGGCCTCGCGAATGACTTCGAATTCCGTGCCTTTGTATTGCTTGAGCTCGTTTAGTAGCTTTTTCTGGCTGTGCTCGATTTCAGCCAAAGCTGCTTCCCTTTCGTACCATTGCTGCTGTTGTAAAGACTGTAAGTGGGAAAAAAATACTGAGGTAAAAAGTTGAATCTTGGTAATGAAAATTGAAGCTTGGTAATAAAAATCGAAGCTTGGTAAAAAAAGATTGTAATTGTAATGTCTAGAATTTATCAATGTTGACATAAAACACTTTTGAGTAGGAAAATTTTTGTATGCAAAATTTTCATTTAGGCTTCAGCTTAAAACATAATTATACCAGATTATATACAGTGATGGGTTTTACCTGAAAGTGCACTTGGAATGTTGGGATGTGATTTCATCGACTTGATTAGTATTGCACATAAACATATATAATTAATTTTAAAGCTGTTGTGCGAAGTGCCACATCAGCAATTTAAGGAGTTAAAAACAACTAAAATTTCATAATTGCAAGCTTCGAAGCACGGGTCGAATTGGCTCAAACTAAAGCTTAATCAAGTATGCTTCAAGATAGTAACTTGAAGTTAACCAAACTTCTTAGTGGGGGCAAATTCAAATATTTGATATCTAATGATGCAGAATAAGTTTAACAAGAAAACCACACAAATCATAATCACATCAAGAAGGTAAGTGCTTATAAGTTATATCCAAGTGGCTATATTCAATTTAAGATTCAGTTTCTTGATTATGCTTGAACATATTATCTATCTAGTCCAATCGTTTAAAGCCATATCAGCAAAGGGATCCCACATGGATTTCCTACGACTCTATTCTATGTTTGTAACAAACAAAATACTCACATTGAGTACTAAGAGATCTTTCCTTCTCAATCTTTCGTAAGTAATAATAAACCAACATCGACATAGGATGTAAACAGAATATATCTAAGACATTTTTGCCAAGCATTTAAGAGAACAAAGTCCATAAACTACATACATTCTTCAAATTTAATCATGATTTATTTAGAGTTCCAACATTTATATGTTTTGCCTTATAATTAATATTATGTGAATAAAGCCTTTCCAAAAGAAATTTGCATCCACTCGCCAGATAAACCTATCAGAATCGCAATCATTCAAAGCACATCACACAAGTCAATTTCTCTGTTCAAATTCCATTTTTCTGGAAAAAAAAAAACTTCAAAAAAGAACAAGCACATCATGCACATAACCCCAAACATAATCTTTTACCAAATCACTCGAAAATGATTAACACCTTAATAAGATAATTTGACATTCTTACAGTTTCCATGTTATCGAGGACTGGAAAAACAATGATATCTTTTGATAGGTAGTTCTAACCATTAAGCCAACATTATCCTTCCACAAATTTCCAGACTTTCTTACAAAATGTCACACTTCTAAAAACAACACAAACAGAACTATGACATGTTATAATGTAAATATGCAACTTTTTGTTCATAAAGAAAGACGGGTCGACTCGTCTAACAATTAACCCGTCTCATAAACATAACTTTTGAATCACTAATGATGATTTTAGGGGTAAACTATTCAAGATTAAAATAAAAAAAAATGCAAAGATCCTAACAGCACACACAGATTAAACTGACATGCCACTACAAATGCTTCGATATACTATGTATGATTATCAATAGCCACACAGTCACTAACAAACAATCAAAAGCTTCCATTTTGGGGAAGGAAATAAAAAAAGGGGTTCTAAAAACCATATCTCCAGTAACACAAACCCACTCCAAAATCCCTTTGATTCCAAATTTTATGAGCCCTTCACAATACCAATTAATCCGGCAAATAAAAAATAAAATAAAATAAAGAAACAAAACGAGAAGCTCATAATTTTACCAAGAAAAAGCAAGGTACAAAGAAAAAAAACCTGCAAATACGAGAGCTGTCCCTCTAGGGATTCAAGGGCATCTTTGATATTGAGAAGACTCTCTGCATCTTCATCAACATCAGAATCTTGATTTTCTGCATCTGGGCTTGCCTCAGATTCCTCGGACTCGATCTTTCCACTTTCTTTCTCCGCATTAGAACTTGTTTTGTGAATGCAGTTAATGATTTTAGACCTTAAATCCGAGGTTTTGGCAAGAACAAGCCCTATTCTTTCTTCGTCCATCGGGTCGGGGAGAGAGAGTAGGGTTCTGGAAGCGATAATCGCCAAAAAA